CGCAACGGGAGGTTTTAGGATACGGTTTTCCCCAAGAGAAAGTCAGCGTATTCTTTCCTGCGTAGCACTCGGTGCATTTTGAAGGTGTTGGGTGAGGTGTTCGAGAAGGCCATCATGTGCTTGCGAAGTTCCCTGAACGCGCCGTCTGCCACCAGCTGCACCCTCATTGGTCCGATGCTGCCTTTGATACGGAAAGACTTGTAGACGGCCGAGTCCTGCTGGAGACTGATGTCCAGCTGGAGGGAAGGAGAGGAGAGGGCACATAAAGAAAGCAAATAAAGGTCAGTTACACGATGAGGAAAAAACATGCCGTGTGTTGTTGCTGCATGCTAGGTTTGTCTTACCTTGTAGCGTTGCTCCTCTGTGAGGTTCCTCACACCTTTCAGCTCTATAAAAACCTGGTAATGAGGATCTGAGCCGCCTATCGAATCTCCTGCAACACCACAGTAAAGTAAGATTCATTATAGCGCAAACTGAACCTGACTAACCACTCAGAGGTGTTGACTGAGGGGTTATGAGCAAGGCGTCTTACCCATGATGCCGCTCTCAGCGCAGCAGTAGTCGACCAGCTGAGCCCCCGGCCACTGAGAAACAGCTTTCTTCAGAGCGTCAAGGAACAATGCCTCGGACACTTTCTCCCCTCGTACGTTCAACATTTGACCCCGTCTGACAGAAGAGGGAGGGAAGCAAGGAGGAAACATTTTGCCATGTGGTATATATTAAAAATATACATACATACAGTATATTACATGCAGCATGAGATGATGTGCAGTATTTGAACAAATGTGTACCTGTATTGAAACTCAACAATGGGGCACTGGTTGTGGAATCCAACTACTTTCACAATGTCTCCAATGCGATATCTGTAACACACAGCATACAAAGTGTCTATTATGCAACAGTCCTATACAACTATTATTTGTGAAATACCTTGGGTTAAAGCTTGTGCACGTTTCTGAGCATCTTTACATTTTAATTGCGTGTCAGATTGTCTTATTGAGTCTGAGCACGAATCTTGATATAACGTAGCATTATCAGACCTGAGATGCAGCCCATTTTATCTTGATTGAGTGCATTCGAGTGCAACCACATCACAATGACAATGACACAAAGCAATTATCAGATGTAATTCTGCACTTTTTCTAGCCTATGATTTAACAAAGTGGCAGTTAACTGAACCCTCTGGTTGACAGCAAGATACAAATACACTTAAAATTGGCCTACATTTCAGGCATTTACTCCCTAAAAACACAACAGACGTAAAACTGTCTACATTCAACTGACAGATCCTGCAAGAATACAGTTAAATTCATCGTTAGATCCTTTTTGGTTGTAAATGAAATCAGACCTGAAGAGTCCTGAAGCGTTTGTAATAACAAGCTCGTAGTTTTGTCCCTCCTTCACCTCCTCCATTAGCAGAGTGTGGGGCGTCTCCTCCTCCAGGCGGCTCTCTGGCAGGAACTCGCAGAACATTGAACGAGGACACAGCATATAGCGTCTGTTTGGCTCCTGTGGCCACAGGTTCACTCCTATTAGACCTGCAGAGGGCAATCCATACAATAAGAACTAATACAGTAACTCAAGCACCTTAAAAACCTTTTATTAGTGTCTGGGATCGGATGTGATCACGTGCAGGTTCCTACCTTCAGTAGCAGCGTAGAACGGTGAATAGAAAGGCACTCCCTGGCAGTAGTTCGCCCTCAACATTTCCCCATAGATCTGATTGGAGCCACTGTCCACTGCCAGCACCAGGTGGAGGTGAGGCCACAGCCGCTTGGCGATGCCACGGAAACCGCCTTGGAAGTGGGCCCGGAGCTGAGCGGCCCTCTCTGGGTCCGGCTTCATCAGAGCCTCCAGCCTGAACCTCACTCTGGGCTCCAGAGCCAGAGCGCTGCTGACCTTCCCACGTTCAATGTCCTCCACAAGCTCCTGCCAGCGATCCTGTGGGACGGAGAGGAGATCTGATAGAAATTACTTTTTCTAATCCTTAGCACATCAAACCAATTACCAGAGCTTTTCTTTCAGTCAGTGGGAGTCTGACTCCTGACTCAAGATTTCAACCCACTTTACTAAAAAATGTCCCGGTGGGGCTCAAACCAGGCATGCATGAAGGATACAGCACTAGGAGACAAATCAACTACAGAGTGCTACTGTTGGGTGAAAATAGTTGTCTCAAATATAAAATATAAGACACCCTTTTAAGAATTAAGATGTTATTTACTGTTTAAAAAACATACAATTTCTGAAATATAAAAAATATTTTTTAATATTTTCCTAGAATGGATTAGTTTCTGTTTGTGATGGCCTCTGTATGGATGGGCGAATGTGGAGTAAATGTAGTTTAAAGAGCTTTATGTTCAGAAGACTAGAAAGGCCCTATACAAGTATAGACCATTTACCATTATCTGTATAATAAATCACGACATAAGCTATACTGTACCTGCAAAGCACTGAAAGCATAGTAGACTGTGGAAGCAAAGTTGGACTCCAGTGTTCCCACACTCGGATCTTTGAGAGCAAACAGGAGATGCAGGTAAAGGGTGTCTTTCTCACTGGGGACCTGAAAGAGAGCGCAGTACAATCTCATGAAAACGATTAAAAACAATTAACTAATTCCGCATGAAATCCAAAAGAAAAATAATATTCAGAAACCAATAAATACTCAGCATCGTGACCAATACATCTCGCAAACTGTACCTCGAAGGCGGGTGCTGGGGTGGTGTAGAGGTTGAGCATGTGGCGAGAGGAGGCTGGTGTGGAGGAGTTTGGTCCAATGGGAATACCGGCCTCAGACTGGCGAAAAGTAGGCGTGTAGAAGAACTTGGTGGTGCGCTGGAGGCTGTCGGTCGCAGGAAACGCTCTTCGCATGGCATCCAAACACACAGTCACCCCCTTGGTGGATAAATCAATACGATTACTAACATTACATGTACATGCACACAACAACACAGCACAGGCTACGACTGGGCAAACACATCATCACCCAGCTTCACCTGCAAGAAGAACTCAGTGTTGGTGTCCTGTGTGCTGAGCAGCATGGCGCTGGCTCCCGACGTCCCGGAAGTCATGGCCAGGATCAACGGCTTGTCCGCGATGATCACCTTCTCCTCTCCTGCCGCGACGCGTCTGATGAGCTCACGGTAGTGCTCGTATGTGGTGATGGGGTGTCGTGCTCGGAAGCCATCGCTGTCTGAAAAATAACCGCAAAACAAACAGTTTATGAGTTCAAACTGTGTGAAGTCTTCATTTCAACTGAT